GTGCCCAGCCATCTTCTCATGTTTGGTATCGGTATCGGGGCAGTTCAAGACCTTGGTGGTGGTCGGTGAGAGTGGTGCTCGTGGAGCTGCAACTCGGCCGCTCCTCGACTGACGTGGCCTCGTGGTCGCTTCGTGAGTCCCAGACCCGAATGTTAGAATGACTTGACGACGCGGCGTGGTCTTGCGATGCGCCGCGTACTGCGTTGACGAGCGACGCAGGCGTGCAGGGTTGCGAGTGACCATGCTTGACCTCCTGTCTGAGGCAGCATTTGCCGGCATTTCGCCGATCTCACACGGAGGCGCCACTCCCTGCAACGCAGCGCGGTCGGCGTTGCGCGCAGATCGCACCGACTATCAGCGCTGCAACGGATCGTGGAGGCCTCGGCCATCTCACGGATCAGCCGCGCATCGAGATTGCCTGCCACAGTCCCAGGACAAGCCCTGGACTGAAGACCAGGAGAGCTAGTTGACTTAACCGAGCTCCATCTACCACGGATTTGGGCGGGTCGAGTTGACCAGCGGCTGCGCTCAAGATGGATGCTCAACATGGCGTGGTGACCCTCATCTACTGGGGCGCCGAACAGTTTGTCGCCTGTAGTGACGCTTTCTTGCGATTCAGACTTTGTGGGGGTTAGCCTACGGAGTGACCAGCTCGACGACGACGCCGCGCGATAAGGCATGGACTGCGGTGGACCAACTTTGATTCAGACTTTGATCCAGCCTTGCGACGAAGACGCTAGAATGGATCGGCTTCGCCGACACCAGCACGACCACCATGGTGGCCACCTCGCGACGCCAGGTGGCCATCGGTCTCGAGTACCTCGCCAGGAACGCGTTCAACCTTTCAAGCGTCGTAGCTGTCCAGGTTGGACTCGGCCCTGAGCAAATCGTTATCGAGAACAACCGCGATGGATCACGCCTGGTCTGGTGAAGACCGGACTTGCGCAAAGTCGAAACCTGGTGGGGCACTGGGGCTGGTTCTAGGAACGAGTTCCACGTCTCGGGCGCGCGGGGTTGCAGTGCAGGCGCCTCCGAGTCTGGCGCGCACCTAGGCGAGCCAACCTGTGAAGATGGGCGGCTGCCGACCATCCAGGAAGGGTCTCATGAGCACGCTTCGAGCGACGCTCACCTCGTCGACTCGGCCTGGTGGGCGTCCTTGACGGCGGACCAGCAGACCGTCATGCAGGACGTCCTCTCGGCAGGTGCAGCGACCTTCAACTCCACCTGGGAGACCGAGCCACAGACTGCCCCGTCATGTCCACCACGGCTCACCCTCGACTCAGATGTGCAACGCCACCAGCACTACGTAGCCGTCGATGCTGAGCCTCCGATGCCGTCGGCAGCTTCTGACGGCGACAACTCAGGTAGCTCTTATGTAGAACTTGTGCCGCCCGATGAGATGCGCAAGATGGTCCTCGACCACCCAGCACCTGAATGCCATTGTGCGCGACTCAGGGTCTACGTAGCAGCGTCGAAGAAGGCTGCGATCGAGCGAGGCACCGACCGACTCACCCCTCGCGAGTTCCAAGCGCACGCTGCGGCTGTTGCCGTGGAAGTGCTACAGGTCTGGGTTAGTCGCGCCGGGAAGCCAGGGGCATCCTGAACTGCAGGTTGGTATGCAAGCAGCAATGAACACTTAAGAAGACCGATCCCGCTCACGAGGTATACGGATCATTCGTATGTGTTTGCTTCTGTGGGGCTTTAGATAGGTCGACTCCGATCTCATCGCCGCCTACGCCGGCCGGCGCTTCATCGCAACTCTCGCAGCGAGTGATCGCCTCTGAGGCTGACTGCCGAGGATTGAGGATCGACGCTGGAAATGTCAAGGAAATTCTTTTCGAATGGGGCGAGCGACAAGGAACTTGCAGTGGCTGCAGATAAGGAGGATTGCAAAGTGGACTTCGACTTATACCTTGGCACCGCGGCAGTTCTCCGCGTAATCAAAGGATGCGAGGATGTGGATCCGGACCTCGAAGTATTCCTTCGCGCGGAGAAGCCAGGCGCGGGCTGCCAGGGTACGCCGAGGCGCTGGTCCATCCAAGTCGCCAAGGCCACCGACGGCTTGCACCGAGCCGCCCCCGCATTCTACAACGATGAGTTAGTTCATCGCCCGGCGCCATACTTGTGAATTGTATCTCCTTGCTATGCAGCGCACGGGGGCTGCAACCCCCGAGGAAAAGGCCAAGCTTCGCAAGTGTTTGGAGGGCGCCCTCTTCGGCGAGGGCGAGTTTGATATTTCCGCTGGGATGTTCTCGTGCTGTGATGCCCGACACTTGCCGAGCAGTGACGCTTGGCGCGAATCTAACCGACTGCGCGCAAACTCCCAAGGCCATCGGCAGTGCTGAGCTGGAAGGCCACCTCTAAGCTTGCGCCCGATGGCCTGGCCAATTAAGCTGTTCCTCAGCCTCCGCGTGGTCTTGGCGTCCGCCCTTATCGCACGAATGGGCTTGCGCGTCTACGTGGGCGCCCTGCGGCGCCGCGCAGCGGCGCCCGCGTGCGGCCGCATCCGCAAACTCAACGCATTTGCCAGGTGGGCGCAAGCTAACTCACAGAGGACCCACTACCTAGCCATGAGGCGGGCAGTTTTGCTGGGAATCCACTCTGGCGCGGCGCATCGCAAAGAACACAAGGAGGGTGCTCGCGTAGGTCGGGCCCGTTGCGGTGCCGTTTTCCTGCGCATGGGCGCCGCGTCCTTTGCGCCGGCGCCAGCGCCCTTCACTGTCTCCGCACCCCCGTCATCTGTTGTATTGGCAACGCCGCGAGTGAGCGGATGGCCGCGATCGCATCCACTGGTCGTGGCCTGGTAGTCGCCGCTTGCCAGAGGCCCGCGCTGTGCGCGTGCCGCGCGTTGCAATCGTGACGGGCTGCAGGCTCCGGCTGTGCAGCTCGAGCTCTATCTGGATTCTATGGGAGTCGTCTCCGCTTTGACGGTCGCCGTGCCCCAGCCTCCAGCTGAGCACTCACTGCTGTCGCACATGCGATGGCTTCGCGACCTCCTGAGCTCGGGCCAGTTATCGGGCCCGAGCTGGGAGGATGCCTGCGACGTGATCGCAGATGGACTCGCAAAGGGTTGCGTTGAACTTGCAGCGCCCCATTCAACCTCCAGCGGACACCGCAGGAGAAACCGCTCCATGTGCCATCACCTTCAATGCCGCTGGCAAGCTAACTGCTCTATCGGGTCATGCGCGCCAGCCTGTAGAGAGCGGCGGTCAGCAGTGACCCAGGCGACCGCCGACCACTTTGCTCCAGTTCGGCCTGTCCAAAACTACCTCCTCGTCCTCCTGTTCTTTGTCCTGGCGGCCCCATGTTCGCACTCGCGTCGGCTAGGACAGGCGAGTTCACTGTTCACTATTATCGCTGTGTCTCGACTGGGAAAGACTGGTGCGAAAGGCGCTGCAAGGAAGTGGTCATGTTGTAGTTGGGGTGGGAAGGCATGCGCAGCAGTGCGCGTGCGCAGATGTGTATATCCTTGCCGTCTGCCAATTCACTGGCGCGCGGGCCCGCGCGCGGCGTTGGGGCCAGCGCTCGCGGCCTTGCCGCCGGCGCGTGCGACTGCGTGCCTCCCCAGAAGGTCGCCGCCGCTTCCGACCCGCAGGTCTCTTCCTCTTCGGGGGCCAGCAGCGGCCCGCGAGCCGGGCGCAGGCAGCCGCCGCCGCTCCTCGGACCTATACTTCGCCAGGGTCGCGGGCCCTGACCAGTCTATCCGTCCGCCAGGCGTGCCGCCCATGATGCCGCCGCCGGCCGCGATCTCTAGCAAGCGGCGCCCCGGGGTCGCGATGGGCGGCGGTCGCCTCGGCGCGCAGGGTAGGCGCGACCGCGCGGGCGAGCAGGCCAGGACGTCCCCGACGTGCTGGCCCTCGTGCGCCGCCGCAGCCGCCCGAGTGCAGCAGCGGCGCTCGAGGTCGATCCCGCGATCCCGAAGAGGCCGCCCGCGCCGCCGGACTCGCCGCCGCGGCGCGAGCGGTGCCGGGGCGACGGGCGCGGCTGCCGCGAGTTCGTCGTGGCGCCGGCGCCTCGGCGGGAGCCCCCGCCGGGCTGCCGCCCGCCAGGCTTCGGCCGAGGCGCGGGCAGCGGGGCCCCGGTTGGCAGTCTCGGCCAGACGCGCTCTGCGACCAATCGGAGCAGCGGCAGCGGCGGCCAGCGCGACGAGGGCGGCAAGGGCGGCAAAGACATTTAAGGAGGAGAAGCCCAATTAGACCACGTTGTCAGCGCCGGGAGCTTCCAAGCCCAAGAATACGCGGCGCGGCGGTCTCAATGGCAAGCAGGCCCGCGACACAGCCCGTGCAGCAGCCGGGACATCATCGAAGGCTGCTGCATCTGAGGCCGGTGAGGCGTCGCTACCAAAGAGCGAAGATGGAGCGCCATCACAGGGAGCTGGCGCGACTGGTGCGAGCGTTGGCCCAACGGGCCGGGATTAGGTCTTGTCGGGTCAGGCGTTGTGCGGGCCAGTCGCGCGCCCTCAAGGAGTCTCCGTTTTTCGCCCCTGGGCTTCCTCGTCTCGCAATGACTTCGGTGCCACATCATCGTCGAGCCTGTGCGCGGGTCGAGGTCTCCGCAGGTGCGGTGCGCGGCAGTGTGCCTCTCGCCTGCTCAGGCGAGCTGTTCGATGCCGTCCGTGGGAGCACGAGCGTGCTCGCGGAGTGCACTCGGTGAGCCCGGGCTCCGACTGCCTGGCGCGCCTCGCAGGTGGCGGCTGGGTGTCCTGGACGGGTTGGGAAGGTGCGTGGGGATCTGGCACTTCTGTCGTTCCCCTTTTCTGTTGTTCCCTTCGCTCCGCCAGAGCTGATCGATTGCCCGCGCTATCCCGACTCGAATGGGATGCCTGGTTGCGTCTGGGCTCAAGCGCCAGGGCGACAGCTTGTTCTTTGAGATAAGAAAGGTCCGCACATGATATTGCCACTTCTCTAACCATATCCAGTCCCCGCAATTCTAGTTTCTGGTCCTCCTTCTCCTCCTTCTTTTTTATCCTCGTGGTTGAGCTCCTGCTCCTCCTTCCCTTCCTTATGTCTCTCCCTCCTCCAACGGTCCCACGCCTTCTGTTCGTGCAGCGGCGCCAGTTCCTTGCCTGCTGCCGCAGCAGATGCACTGCGTCGAGAGGGTCTTTGGCCGTGGTAGGCAGGGCGGGCGTGCATGGCTGCACGGCCGCCCGTCGCACGCGTTTCGGGCGTGTGATTACCATGCGTTCGTGCGCGGATCTGTTTTATGATAGTTGGCGCAGGGCTCCTGGGCACACGGTTCGTCCGATCTACATTCGGTCGGCGTTGTCTGTGGGCCCTCGCGGATGCTATCGCCTCGCGGATGCTATCTTCGGCTGTCACGGCCGGTGCTATATGCGAACTACTCACGGTTGTTATGGCCGGACATGTTTGCGCCATTGCCCCACTTTCTGCATGTCATGATGTGGGAGCTGAGCCCAGATAGCCGCACTGAGGTCAGCGAAGGAGGGGCGGGCGGGGAGGATGATTCGGATGATGGTGCTAGTGATAGTTGTGGTGGTGGTGGAGGAGGATGGGGAAGGAGGAGGATGAGTAGGTGGAGGAGGAGGAGAAGGAGGAGGAGGAGGAGGCGGAATAGCAGAGAGTTGTGGTGGTGGTGGTGGTGGTCGAGCACAAGAGGGGAGAATGTATGAGGCCAGGGCCGCGGAGGGAAGGAGGAAGAGGAGGATGAGGGAGGAGAAGGAGGAGGAGGAGGTGGAGGAGGAGGAGGAGGATGAGGACGAGCTAGAGGAGGAGGAGGAGGAGGATGAGGAGGAGGAGGAGGAGGAGGAGGAGGAAGAGGTGGAGGAGGAGGAGGAGGAGGACGAGGATAGAGGTGAAGGGACGGATGAAGTGTGAGGAGGAGAAGGAGGATGGGAACGGATGCGGATCACATCGGGGTTAGACTTTGCCTTTTTATGAGGCCCCTTCCTTCCCCGATCGCGCCCTCTCCTCCCTCGCCCAGACTGTCCTTGCGGGAGCGAGGCCAACCAGCGGGTAGTAGCGGGAGAGCGGAGCATGAGGGGAAAAGAAGGACGGGCGCCCGCAGTCGCTGAGGGCTTGACGACTTTTCGCCAGCCAATCGCCTTGCGAGGGTTTGGCCAGATAAACCGAGGTAAACCGAGCCAATTTCCCTCAGCCAGATCGAGGCACGTCTCGAGAGCTCCGGGGAGATCTGGAACAACCCCTGGACGCTCCAGCGCGAGTCGAGGGGCAGCAGAAGCCGTTGAGCCCTCAACGAACAGGGTCGGGGTCGGGGCAGACTGGATGATGCCCGACCTCGGCCTCGTCCGGGCGGTGCCGGCGAACTCTCGGCCCCCTTTTTGGCGGGGCCAGCGAGCCCCGGGCGCGCCGGGGCCTGGGCCTGCAGACCCAGGCAGTGCTGGTGAGTCCTCGCGGTTGCGCGCAGGCAGCCCGCTCAGTGAGTCACAGCTGGCCTCCACAGGCCCTGGCCCCCCGGGGTAGTCCGGGGCGCCTCTGGCGGCGTCCTTGGGGCGCTCCGCGCCCCAGGGTTGCGGTGTTGAGACCGCCCCAGGAGGAGGATCGAGAATCGAGGAGGTGGAGGAGGAGGAGGAGGGGGAGGAGGAGGAGGAAGAGGATCGAGGATCGAGGATCGAGGATCGAGGATCTAGTCCAGGAGCCTGTTGAGGCCAGCTGGGACCTATAGGACTGCCTGGGGGGCCTATGGAGGGCAGCTGGGACGACCTGCGGGGGCTGCCTGTGTGCAGTACGGAGCCTCACCAGGTGGTGCACTAGAGTCTCTCGCTCGCGCGTTTCGTAACGCCAGTTGTCGAGCGGTCCTTCGACCTTATCCGCCCGTGGAGAGTTGTTTAGTCTCTGGGTGGTCTCTGCCAAGAGCCTTGGATAAATGTTCCCGATTTGCTTCGAGGCAATCTTCTCGAGATCTTGGCTCTGAGATATTTTTTTTCAATTTTTATGCGCTTTGGGAGTTTTGCCCATAGTGCCGCACTGAGGTCAGCGAAGGAGGGGCGGGGGGGAGGATGATTCGGATGATGGTGATAGTGATAGTTGTGGTGGTGGTGGTGGTGGTGGTGGTAGAGAAGATGGTGACGACGCGGCTGAGGATGATGCTGGTTCTTGAGATGTCGGGGAGGCGCATGATGATGCTGATGATGATGATGAGGATGCTGATTATGATGATGATGATGATGATGTCCAATGAAGAGCAGATGATGCTGCTGATGATCATGGCCATGGTGATGGTGATGAAGCTGAAGATGGTGATGATGATGCTGATGATGCTGATGATGATCATGATGATGATGATGCTGCCGCTGACGATGACGATAACGGTGATGATGACGATGACGATAATGATGATGACGATGATGATCTTGATTGTGGAGGATGGAGGCAGAAGAGGAGGAGCAGGATGAGGGCGGGGGCAGACGGAGAGGATATTGAGGAAACAATTTAGGAGGAGGCGGGGGAGGAGGATGTGGTTGATGATGAGGATGAGGATGAGGATGAGGGTGATGATGATGACGATGATGACGATGATGATGAGGATGACGCTGATGAGAATGATGAAGAAACCTATGATGATGTTCACGATGAAAAGGATGGTAATGATGATGCTGGTTATGTTGCTGCTGATGATGGTGATGGTGATGGTGATGGTGATGGTGATGGTGATGGTGATGGTGATGATGATGATGATGATGATGATGATGGTGATGGTGATGATGATGATGATGATGATGATGATGATGATGATGATGATGATGATGGTGATGATGATGATGATGATGATGATGATGGTAATGATGGTGAGGAGGAGGACGACGAGGATGAGGATGAGCAATGGTGAGGGGGAGGAACATGCGCAGGAGGGAAAGGGGGAGGAACAGCATCGCGAGCACAATGTGAATGTAGGGATGGGGGAAATGATCAGGATGATGGTTGCAATGTCACGCCCAGGATGCATCAACTACTCTTCAACGCACCGTGCCGTGCCAAGTCTACTCCTCACAAGCCCGTGCAACCACGACAGTTCGCCGCGGGAAGCCCCCCCCCCTCTCCCCTTCAGTTTCGAGTGGCGCATGTACCTGCCACTCAGGCGAGCGTCCCTTTCTGAACAGGATCCGCCCTGGATCCGCCTACACGGAACAATTCAATGTGAATTATACGTATGCCCAGCACGGGGGGGGGAGGATTCCGGCGTCTTTGAAAAAGAAGCGCCGTCGGCCCGTGTATCTCTTGCACGTGCTTGTATGCAAGGTCGCACGGTTTGAGGAAATCTCAAACGGTGACAGACCCGCTCTGAATGCAAAGCCCTCACCAACCCAGGTAATTGCCATATGTTGCCCAACCTTTGGCCGTACAGCCAGATGCATTCTCACGCGACCTACCATTTCGGGAACGCATCCTCCCCCAATGGTGCACATCTCTGTCTGGCGAATGCGTGCGTCGCTGCAGCGGTCACCCCATTTTGATAGACACCCTCTCTCCATCCGTATAGTTGCCTGGCACTTCGAGATGAACATGTGCGGCGCCAAGGCGGTATCCGTTCTTTGAGTGCCACTCGCCGTCGGACCCTTTCTACGTGTGTGTGTGGGGCTGTTACGACGAACGCGCGCTGCACTACTGCGTTCGTTTTGTTTTTGAAGCCATGTGCCCTTCATCCGTGCAACCACTGTAAGCAGTGTGAGGTTGCCCGGAACAGCGGCGCGGATGCGGTACCCTCATCTTGGAGTAACTCGCCCCCCTGTGTAGCTGCTGGAAGCGTTCATGGCACGTGGCCAGGGCGCTACGGCGAGATCTTTGCTTCGAAAGTGTAGCTCCCCATCTGTGCAGCCGTCGGTCATCCCATTCTCCAGGAGTGTTGGCGAGGATGAAGTCTAAGGAGAAACGCCCACACCGCCCAATCGGCACGTCGCGGTGGCACGGCGGGCAGGCGATGAGTACTTTGTATGTCCTTTTTGTTGGTGCGTGTGTGCATCTCGAACTCCGAGTGTACCGTAACGAAGTGTGCCCGACCTTACTATTTTTGCGGAGGTACGCACCTCGCCGCTTGAGGACCATTGGGTGCACGTGGTGGTGGTGGGAGGGAGGGAGTTTGGTGATGGGTGGGATTGAGGCGGGGTATGAGGGGGGCGATTGCGATAATGCTGGTCGCAAAGATGGTAACATGGATGACGGTCGTGATGCTTGTGTTGATCTTGTTGCTGACGGTCACCCTCTGATGGTGAGGTGATGATGACGACGGTGATGGTGACAATGTAGGTGAACATGACAATGTGTATGGTGATGGTGATGGTGGTGACGATTTAGGTCGCTGGAAAGGATGATGATATTGCTGGAGAGTAGGGTGGCTGCGATGACGACAACGATGATGCTGATGATGATGCTGCTACTGCTGCTGATAATGATCATGCTGTTCACGATGGTGCTCATATTGGTGACGAGGATCCTGACTGTGACCATGATGGTGGTGATGGTACTGATCGCTCTAATGATTTTTAGGATGTTGAGGAGGAGGATGAACAGGATCAGGATAATGCGCATGAGCAGGATGATGAGGATGAGGTTGACCAGGAGGTGGAAGACGGGGAGGAGGAGGAAGACAACGAGTAACACTGGTATTTGCGGGCCACCAGGAGGAGAATGGGAATAAGCTGGGAGCGACGGATGACGATGATGACGACGATGGTGATGATGATGATGATGATGATGATGATGATGATGATGATGATGATGATGATGATGTTGATGATGATGATGATGATGATGATGATGATGATGATGATGATGATGATGATGACTAGGATGATTGTAGAGGGAGGAGGGAGGGGAGCCTGACATCTGGAAGTATGGGGGATGGGGGGCACAAACGGCGAGTAGGAAGAGACGGATTCTGTTGTGGAGGAGGACGCAGGGGGCCTGAGTAGAGTGGGGGTGGAAGTGAAAATTCAATTGGGAAGAGGGACAAGGGGGGAAGGATGAATCGGGATGCACGACGACGAGGAGTGTGAGGGACAGGAGAGGATGTAGTTTGGCGCGTGTAAGGGACATATAGGATGCTTGTGTGGTGATGAGGAGGTGGATCGGTGGATGAATTTTGGGAGGATGCAGTGAGGAGTGGATGACTAGGAAAAGGAAGAGGGTAAGGAAGGAAACGAGGAACACGAGGAAGAGGAAGCGGATGGGAGTGACGTGGATTGACAAGGAGGGACGTGGAGGAGTAGGAGGAAGATGAGGCGCATGATGAAATTTGCGATGATGGGGATGGTATCGAGGGTGATGTGGGTTGGAATGGTGATGGTGATGATGATGGTGACTATTCTGCTACTGATGATGCTGATGCTGATTCTGAGAACGATGTTACCGATGCGTATCATGACGAGTGTGGTCGGAATGGTGATGCTGTTGATGATGCTGATTGGGTTCATGGTGACTGAGGGGGAGCAGGATGGTTGGGAGGAACAGCATCAGGGGATGCAGCCGAAAGGCAGGAGAAGTCGGAGTCGGAGGAGGAGGAGGAGGAGGAGGAAGAGGCGGGGGAGGATCAATCGGATGGTGCTGGTAATGATGATCATGGTTTCGATGATGATGCTGATGATGATGCTGATGATGATGCTGATGATGCTGATGCTGATGCTGATGCTGCTGCTGATGATACTGATGCTGACGATGGTGATACTGATGATAATGATTATTCTGCTGCTGATGCTGATGCCGATGATGATGCCGATGCTGCTGATGATGATGCTGCTGATGATGCTGCTGCTGATGATGATGATGGTGGTGATTGCGATGACGATCGTCATACTGATTATGATGCCGATGCTGGTCATGATGCTGACGGTGATTCTATATGACGATTGTGAAGACCCTCCTGGTGATGATGCTGATGCTGCTGATGCTGCTGCTGATGATGATGATACTGATGCTGATTGTGTTGGTGGTGGTGATGATAATGATGATGCTGGTGATGCTGCTGCATATGTTGAGATTGCTGATGCTGACAGCAGTTCTGATGGTGATGTTGACATCGGTGATTATGTTGTTGATGATGGCGTTGACGATGGTGAGCGTGATGGTCATGATTCTGATGATGCTGCTGATGATGATGCTCTGCTGATGATGATGCCGGTGGTGACGATGTCGCAGTTGTCGCTGCCGATAACGGCGACGATTCTGATGATGATGGTAATTTTGATGATTACTAGTCTGCTGATGATGCTGATGATGCTGATGATGATTATTATGATGATGCCGATGCTGATGATGATGCTGGTGACGATGATGATGCTGATGATGACGATGCTGATATTGCTTCTGTTGGTGACAATGATGACGATGATGCTGATGAACGCGATGCTGACGATGATGCTGATGACGATGCTAATGATGCTGATGATGATGATTACCATGCTGCTCATGATTATGAATGATCCTGCTGATGGTGCTGAGGCTCATGATGATGCTTATGCTGCTGATGATGATGCTGATGCTGATTATGATGATGATGGTGCTGATGATGATGGCAAGGATGATGATGATGATGATGCTGATGATGATGACGATGATAATGATGATGATGATGGTGGTGGTGATGATGAGTATGATTATGCCGATGCTGATGCTGATGATGGGTGATGATGATGATGATGATGGTGGTGGTGGTGGTGGTGATGATGATGCTGACTCTGATGCTGATGCTGACGCTGATGCTGATGATGAGGAGGAGGAGGGGGGGAGGAGGAGAACGAAGAGGAGAAGGAGGACGAGGAGTAGGAGGAGGGATTCAGGGATGATGGTGAAGAGGAGGGGATGCTGAGGAGGAGCAGGAGGAGGAGGCGGAGGAGGACGAAGAGGCAGATATGAGGAGGTGGAGTAGAAGGACGAAGAGCATGATGATGACGATGATGATGATGATGCTGATGATGATGATGAGGATGATGATGATGATGATGATGATGATGATGATGATGATGGTGACGCTGATGAGAGGGAGAGGGGGAGGCGTTTGATGTTGATGATGCTGATGATGCTGATTATGCTTATGATGCTGATGATGCTGCTGATGCTGATGATGCTGCTGATGATGATGCTGACGATGCTGATGATGATGACACTGATGATGATCGTGGTGGTGGTGATGGTGCTGACGATGCTCATGCTGCTGATGATGATGCTGATGATGCTGCTGCTGATGATGACGATGATGATCCTGATGAGGATGTGGATGATGAAGATGATTATGATGATGATAATTATGATGCTGATGATGATAATGATGATGATGATGATGATGGTGATGCTGCTGCTGATGATGATGACGATGATGCTGGCAAGGATCTGTATGATTATGAGCAGGAGGAGGAGACCAGGACGAGGAGTAGGAGTTCGAATAGAGTCATGACGACCATGACGACGAAAAGGAGGGGAAGGAGGAGGAGAAAGAGGATGAGGAGGAGGAGGAGGTGGAGAAGGGATGAGGGATGATGATGATGATGAGGAGGAGGAGGTGCTGAGGAGGAGCAGGAGGAGGAGGAGGAGGAAGAGGAAGAGGAGGAGGAGAAGGAGGAGCGGCAGCAAAAGGAGGGAGAGGAGGAGGATGAGGTGGGGATGGAGGTGAAGTGTGAAGACCATGATGTTGATGACGATGATGCTGGTGATGATGCTGCTGCTCATGATGATGATGATGTTGAGGAGGAGGAGACGGTTGATGATGTTGCTGATGATGCTACTGCTGATGATGTTGATGCTGATGATGATGATGGCTGGGGATGATGTTGATGATGATGACGCTCACTGTTCTGATGCTGATGATGATGTTGATGTTATTGTTTATGATGGTGATGATGGTGATGATGTCGATGACGATGAACATGACGATGGTGATGCTGCTGATGATGATGATGCTGATATTTTTTCATTAAGCGCCGTGGGCCCCTATGTGTGTTTTGTCTTTGTGATGTGCATCTGCGAAACTTCTGCCGAGGAATCGTGAATCGTCACTCTGATTTACACAGACATCCGAAAGAGGCGGCGTGCGGTGACTTCGACCGAGACGACCAGCGAAGAACGCAGGGCGAGGGGGCCGCACCTAAGGCCGACGTGGCCCACGGTTGGCCCCGCCGACCGACTCGAGAGTTGCGGCCGACTGGAGGAAACGAATCAGTGCCTTGATGCTGATATTGTTGATGAGGATGATGATGACGCTGATGATGATTGTGCTGCCGCTGTTGCTGCTGATGGTCATACTGATGATGATGATGATGATGATGATGATGATGATGATGATGATGATGATGATGATGATGATGATGATGATGATGATGCTGATGCTGATGCTGATGCTGATGCTGATGATAATGATGATGATGATGATGCTGATGATGATGATGATGATGATGTTATTGCTGCTTCTGATGATGATGCTGCTGCTGATGATGCTTATGCTCATGCTGATGCTGTTGCTTGTGCTGCTGCTGATGATGCTGATGCTGATGACGATGATGCTGATGATGATGCTGGTGATGGTGACGAGGAGGAGGAGGAGGAGGAGGAGGAGGAGGAGGAGGTGGAGAATCACCACCCACCAAACCACCCCAACCCAAACCGAAGGCTCAGATTTACCCTCGATTTCCAGTGGGGGGGGGTCGGGAAACATCGAAAAAACACGTGTGGAACCCTTACCCCCCCCAACCCGAAATTCGGGTCTTCGGATTGGGTTGGGGTGGTCTGGTAGGTAGTCAGAGAAATGGAGGAGAAGGAGAAGGAGGACGAGGAGGATGTGGAATGAGGAGGATGAGGAGGTGGAGGAGGAGGAGGAGGAGGAGGAGTTGGTGGAAGAGCAGAGAGTGGTGGTGGCGATGGTGGTGGTGGTGGTGGTGGTGGTGGTGGTGGTCGAGCAGAATAGGGGAGAATGTATGAAGAGAGGGCCGCGGAGGGATGAGGAAGAGGAGGAGGAGGGAGGAGAAGGAGGACGAGGAGGAGGAGGACGAGGAGGAGGAGGATGACGAGCTAGAGGAGGAGGAGGGGGAGGAGGAGGAGGAGGAGGAGGAGGAGGAGGAGGAGGAGGAGGAGGAAGAGGAAGAGGTGGAGGAGGAGGAGGAGGACGAGGATAGAGGTGAAGGGACGGATGAAGTGTGAGGAGGAGAAGGAGGATGGGGGCGGATGCGGATCACCTCGGTGTTAGACTTTGCCTTTTTATGTGGCCCCTTCCTTCCCCGATCCGGCCGCTCCTCCCTCGCCCGGGCTGTCCTTGCGGGAGCGAGGCCGACCAGCGGGTAGTAGCGGGAGAGCGGAGCGGGAGGGGAACAGAAGGACGGGCGCCCGCAGTCGCTGAGGGCTTGACGACTTTTCGCCAGCCAATCGCCTTGCGAGGGTTTGGCCAGATAAACCGAGGTAAACCGAGCCAATTTCCCTCAGCCAGATCGAGGCAGGTCTCGAGAGCTCCGGGGAGATCTGGAACAACCCCTGGACGCTCCAGCGCGAGTCGAGGGGCAGCAGAAGCCGTTGAGCCCTCAACGAACAGGGTCGGGGTCGGGGCAGACTGGATGATGCCCGACCTCGGCCTCGTCCAGGCGGTGCCGGCGAGCTCTCGGCCCCCGTTTTGGCGGGGCCGGCGAGCCCCAGGCGCGCCGGGGCCTGGGCCTGCAGACCCAGGGGAGGGCCCCGCCCCTGGCCAGAGGAGGAGGAGGAGGAGGAGGAGGAGGAGGAGGAGGAGGAGGAGGAGGAGGAGGAGGAGGAGGAGGAGGAGGAACGGATCGGATCGCAAGCGATTGCGAATCGGATCGAGATCGGATCGCCGCGCCCGGCTCTGGCTGGCCCCCGCCGGTGCCGGGGCCTGGGCCTGCAGTGCTGGTGAGTCCTCGCGGTTGCGCGCAGGCAGCCCGCTCAGTGAGTCACAGCTGGCCTCCACAGGCCCTGGCCCCCCGGGGTAGTCCGGGGCGCCTCTGGCGGCGCCCTTGGGGCGCTCCGCGCCCCAGGGTTGCGGTGTTGAGACCGCCCCAGGAGGAGGATCGAGAATCGAGGAGGTGGAGGAGGAGGAGGAGGAGGAGGAGGAGGAGGAAGAGGAGGAGGAGGAGGAAGAGGATCGAGGATCGAGGATCGAGGATCTAGTCCAGGAGCCTGTTGATGCCAGCTGGGACCTATAGGACTGCCTGGGGGGCCTATGGAGGGCAGCTGGGACGACCTGCGGGGGCTGTCTGTGTGCAGTACGGAGCCTCACCAGGTGGTGCACCAGAGTCTCTCGCTCGTGCGTTTCGTAACGCCAGTTGTCGAGCGGTCCTTCGACCTCATCCGACCGTGGATAGTTTTTTTAGTCTCTGGGTGGTCTCTGCCAAGAGCCTTGGATAAATGTTCCCGACTTGCTTCGAGGCAATCTTCTCGAGGTCTTGGCTCAGATATTTTTTTTCAATTTCGACGCGCTTTGGGAGCTGTGCCCATAGTGCCGCACTGAGGTCAGCGAAGGAGGGGCGGGGGGGAGGATGATTCGGATGATGGTGATAGTGATAGTTGTGGTGATGGTGGTGGTAGAAAAGATGGTGACGACGTGGCTGAGGATGATGCTGGTTCTTGAGATGTTGGGGAGGCGCATGATGATGCTGATGGTGATGAGGAGGATGTTGATGATTCTGATGATTATGATGATGACAATGTTCAATGAAGAGCAGATGATGATGCTGATGCTGCTGATGATCATGGTGATGGTGATGGTGATGAAGATGAAGATGGTGATGATGATGCTGATGATGATGCTGCTGATGATGATAATGTTGATGATGCTGCTGCCGCTGACGATGACGATAACGGTGACGATGACGATGACGATGATGATCTTGATTCTGGAGGATGAGGAGGCAGAAGGAGAGGAGCAGGATGAGGGCGGGGGCAGACGGAGAGGATATTGAGGAAACAATTTAGGAGGAGGCGGGGGAGGAGGATGAGGTTGAGGTTGAGGATGAGGATGAGGATGAGGGTGATGATGATGACGCTGATGACGCTGATGATGAGGATGACGCTGATAATCATGATGAAGAAACCTATAATGATGCTGTTTACGATGCAAATGATGGTAACGATGATGCTGGTTATGATGCTGCTGATGATGATGATGCTGCTGCTGATGATGATGATGATGGTGAGGAGGAGGGCGATGAGGATGAGGCGGAGCAATGGGGAGGGGGAGGAACATGCGCAGGAGGGAAAGGGGGAGGAGCAGCATCGCGAGCACAATGTGAATGTAGGGATGGGGGAAATGATCAGGATGATGGTTGCAATGTCACGCTAAGGATGCATCAACTACTCTTCAACGCACCGTGCCGTGCCAAGTCTACTCCTCACAAGCCCGTGCAACCACGACAGTTCGCCTCGGGAAGCCACCCCCGCCTCTCCACTTCAGTTTCGAGTGGCGCATGTACCTGCCACTCAGGCGAGCGTCCCTTTCTGAACAGGATCCGCCCTGGATTCGCCTACACGGAACAATTCAATGTGAATTATACGTATGCCCAGCACGGGGGGGGCGCGGATTCCGGCGTCTTTGACAAAGAAGCGCCGTCGGCCCGTGTAGTTCTTGCACGTGCTTGTATGCAAGGTCGCACGGTTTGAGGAAATCTCAAACGGTGACAGACCCGCTCTGGAAGCATAGCATTCACCCACCCAGGTAATTGCCATATGTTGTCCAACCTTTGGCCGTACAGCCAGATGAGTTCTCACGCGACCTACCATTTCGGGAATGCATCCTCCCCCAATGGTGCATGTCTCTGTCTGGCGAATGCGTGCGTCGCTGCAGCGGTCACCCCATTTTGATAGACACCCGCTCTCCATCCGTATAGTGCCTGGCACTTCGAGATGAACATGTGCGGCGCCAAGGCGGTATCCGTTCTTTGAGTGCCACTCGCCGTCGGACCCTGTACACGTGTGTGCGTGTGTGTGGGGGGCTTTCACGACGAACGCGCGCTGCACTACTGCGTTCGTTTTGTTTTTGAAGCCATGTGCCCTTCATCCGTGCAGCAACCACTGTAAGCAATGTGAGGGTGCCCAGAACAGCGGCGCGGATGGGGTACCCCCATCTTGGAGCAACTCGCCCCCCGTGTAGCTGCTGGAAGCGTTCATGGCACGTGGCCAGGGCGCTACGGCGAGATCTTTGCTCGACAGTGTAGCTCCCCATCTGTGCAGCCGTCGGTCATCCCATTCTCCAGGAGTGTTGGCGAGGATGAAGTCTAAGGAGAAACGCCCACACCGCCCAATCGGCACGTCGTGGTGGCATGGCGGGCAGGCGATGAGTACTTTGTATGTCCTTTTTGTTGGTGCGTGTGTGCATCTCGAACTCCAGGTGTACCGTAACGAAGTGTGCCCGACCTTAGTCTTTTTGCGGAGGTACGCACCTCGCCGCTTAAGGACCATTGGGTGCACGTGGTGGTGGTGGGAGGGAGTTTGGTGATGGGTGGGATTGAGGTGGGGTATGAGGGGGGGCGATTGCGATGATGCTGGTCGCAAAGATGGTAACACGGATGACGGTCGTGATGCTTGTGTTGATCTTGTTGCTGACGGTCACCCTCTGATGGTGAGGTGATGATGACGACGGTGATGGTGACAATGTATGTGAGCATGACAATGTGTATGGTGATGGTGATGGTGGTGACGATTTAGGTCGCTGGAAATGATGATGATACTGCTGGAGAGTAGGGTGGCTGCGATGACGACAACGATGATGCTGATGATGCTGCTGCTGCTGCTGTTGATGATGATAATGCTGTTCATGATGGTGCTCATATCGGTGACGAGGATCCTGACTGTGACCATGATGGTGGTGATGGTACTGATCGCTCTAATAATTTTTAGGTTAAGGAGGAGGAGGATGAACAGGATCAGGATAATGCGCATGAGCAGGATGATGAGGATGAGGTTGACCAGGAGGTGGAAGCCGGGGAGGAGGAGGAAGACGACGAGTAACACTGGTATTTGCGGGCCACCTTGGCGCCGAGGGTCGCGCGGAGTTTTCCAGCGATCGTGGCGCGGCCAGTGAGCTGTGCAGCCAGAGTTGCCATCACTTCGTGCTCGGCAGCCCCGTCGGGGAAAGCGTTCAGGTGGAGGAGGTGGAGGGCAGAGAAGGAGGAGGAGGAGGAGGAGTAGAATGGGAATAAGCCGGGAGATGACGGATGACGATGATGACGACGATGGTGATGATGATTGTGGTGATGTTGATAATGATGATGATGATGATGCTGGTGATGATGATGATGATGATGATGATGATGATGATGATGATGATGGTGATGGTGATGATGATGATGATGATGCTGATGATGATGATGATGATGATGATGATGCTGATGATGATGATGATGATGATGATGATGACGAGGATGATTGTAGAGGGAGGAGGGAGGGAAGCCTGACATATGGAAGTATGAGGGATTGGGAGCACAAAAGGCGAGTAGGAAGAGACGGATTCTGTTGTGGAGGAGGACGCAGGGGGCCTGAGTAGAGCGGGGGTGGAAGTGAGAATTCAATGGGGAAGAGGGATGAGGGGGGAAGGATACATCGGGATGCACGACGACGAGGAGTGTGAGGGACAGGAGAGGATGTGGTTTGGCGCGTGTACGGGGCATATGGGATGCTTGTGTGCTGATGAGAGGATGTGGATGATTTTTTTGGAGGATGCAATGAGGAGTGGATGACTAGGAAATGGAAGAGGGTAAGGAAGGAGATGGGGAGCACGAGGAAGAGGACACGGATGGGAGTGACGTGGATTGACAAGGAGGGACGTGGAGGAGGAGGATGAGGCGCAGAATGAAATTTGCGATGACGGGGATGGCATTGAGGGTGATGTGGGTTGGAACGGTGATGGTGATGATGACGGTGACGATTATGCTACTGATGATGCTGATGCTGATTCTGAGAACGATGTTACCGATGCGTCTCATGACGAGTGTGGTCGAAATGGTGATGATGTTGATGGTGCTGATTGGGTTCATGGTGACTGCGGGGGAGCAGGAGGGTTGGGAGGAACAGCATCAGGGGATGCAGCCGAAAGGCAGGAGGAGTCAGAGTCGGAGGAGGAGAAGGAAGAGGAGGGATGCTGATGATGATGCTGATGATGATGCTGATGCTGATGCTGATGCTGCTGCTGATGATACTGATGCTGACGATGGTGATAATGATGATCATGATCATTATGCTGCTGCTGATGCTGATGATGCCGATGCTGATGATGCTGATGCTGCTGCTTCTGATGATGATGGTGGTGACTTTGATGACGATCGCGATGCTGATTATGATGCCGATGCTGGTCATGATGTTGACGGTGAGTATGACTATTGTGAAGACGCTCCTGATGATGATGCTGATGCTGCTGATGCTGCTGATGATGATGATGATGATGATGATGATGATGATGATACTGATGCTGATTGTGTTGGTGGTGGTGATGATGATGATGCTGGTGATGCTGCTGCATATGCTGAGATTGCTGATGATGCCATCGATGGTGATGGTGATGATGACATCGGCGATTCTGTTGTTGATGATGGCATGGTGAGCGTGATGGTCATGATTATGATGATGCTGATGCTGCTGCTGATGATGATGGTGCCGGTGGTGACGATGCCGCTGTTGTCGCTGCCCGTAATGGCGACGATGCTGATGATGATGGTGATGCTGATGATTACTAGTCTGATGAGGATGCTGATGATGCTGATGCTGGTGCTGATGATGATGATGATACGGATGATACTGATGACGATGCTGGTGATGATGATGATGCTTCTTCCGTTGATGACGATGATGACGATGATGCTGATGACGACGATGCTGATGATGATGCTGATCACGATGCTGCTGATGATGATTACCATGCTGCTCATGATTATGAATGATGCTGCTGATGATGCTAACTCTGATGATCATGCTTATGATGCTGATGATGCTGCTGTTGCTGCTTCTGATGATGATGGTGCTGCTGGTGATGGCAAGGATGATGATGATGATGATGGTGATGATGATGATGATGATGATGCTGATGATGATGATGATGATGATGATGAT